ATATACATATATATATGTGCGCGTATATATATATATATGTATATATATATCAATATATATATATTTATATAAATATATATACATACATACATATATATATATGTATAAATAAATATATTTATGTATATACATATACATATACATATATATACATATACATACATAATAATATATTTACATATACAAATACATATATATATATATATATATATCCTTATTTTTATGTGTGTACATTGACATCATCGATCCCACATCGTACGGTTATCAAAGCAGCAACGCCGTAGTTTTCGATGTCTGTTAGTATAGCATCCACATCATCGATCTCACTTGAACCAATCTGAAGTGGCCTGACTCTACTATATTTCATCTTTGATGCTTTTACACATTCATGGACAAGACCGCTCTATAGTACATAGTACTTTATTTCATGCCATGCATGTATTGACAACCTATTTCGTATGGAATAGAGCTATTCAAGGCTTTGTATTCTCAATTGTGAATCCTCTTATACCTATTATGTGCATTTCCCCCGAGATATCTGAGTGGCTCGAGACACGTCTACCACTACCCCATAAACCCCGTCCACAGTACTTGTACAGTTTTCTCAAACTGAGCTCTAATCACTATCTTGTCAAACCTACCGTAATGACTCCCCAAACCTCCTGTAAAGTTTCAGACCTCGTTAGCTCACGCCGAGTCCCTTCGTGTACGTCTCTCTAGTACACGTTCCTCACTGCGTCCCTAATGATACCACACACTTTCTCCATATCTATAGTAGGCGGGAAACTCAGCCTGCAGAGCTGCACACCGCCTACGGCCTGCTTGGCCTTGTCCTCCTCTTTGATCGCCCCTTGGGTGCTGGTCGCAGGCACCGTCGCATACACCAACCCGTTGTCCTGTCCAAAGCTCACGCACGGCTTGAATACCGCGTCGTGCTGTTGCAGCAAATCCGTAAACTTCTGCGCCAAAGCCGCGTTCTCACTGGCCGTCCCGTTTTTAACGACGGGTAAGTTAAAGGAAAACGTACTCGTATGGAACCCTAAGGCCGCCTGCTTTTCAGTCACAAAGTTCAAACCCATCTCGTAGCCATCCCGAACTTCAGCGACCACTTCCTTCAACGCGTTACCCGCCAGAACAGCGTTCGTGTACGCCTTCTGACACCGGGCCTCCACCCCCTCGTGATTACCCACCAGGAATCGCATCTGATCACGCTTAGCACTCACATCCAGCATCTGTGCGGTGTCCTTCACCTTGCCTAGCAACGCCACAGACGCATCGGACGACCCACAGACCAGGGCTCCGGCTGTAGTTAGACCACGTGACACACTCTTGGACATGCTGATGAAGGTCAGCATGGTCAGATTGGGAGCGTGCGCACTCATGAGTTCCATCACTCGCGATCCCGGTGCGAAGGTAGTGTCCATGAGCAAGAGCACATCCTTCTGTGTGTCCTCTCTGTGGATGATAGTATATGAAAAGGTTGATGAGTCATGGTCGATAAGCATAAGCAAGGTGTATCACATGTACGGGTGGATGGGCCCGTGTACAGGAAGCGGTAGTGTATAGCGAGAATAAGCAGATAAGTGTTACTGTGTGCATAAGGAGATGAGTCTGAACTATACGTGAGCTTGTGTACAGTTACAGAGACCACATGTTGAGACCCAAGGCGGGAGCCGCCGAGAGATCGTTAGATGCCACACACGTACACTGAACAGTAGTATGTTACGCCTGTCACACACATAAAAAGCATATGTACAATCCTGACCATGAAATTTAAACGCCGACCTGCCAGTCTAGCCGGAATACATACAGTTGCATCGGCTATTCCATGGATACACACGCTCTAGACTACACAAATAAATGCACAAGACACACTCCCGACGAAAAGGCAACCTAACATCACACCACGTGGGCATGATTCGTTATGGACAACCCAACTTACCTGTACTTGGTGAGCATCTCGGCCAGGGCTTTCATATCGGGAATCTTCATATCCGGATTCGTGGGAATCTCCACAAACAACACCGTCCTGGGATGCAGGTTCTGCGCATTCCCGGCCAATTTCGTCAGCGCACCCTGAATAGCAGCGCTTATATCGTTGCTCCCCGTGATATCATATGTGTGCTTGGTCATCACCTCAGTCTTATCACACAACAGATCAGTCAGCTGACTGCTACCGCCATACGCAGTACTGGCCATGAGAACATCAGCACCACCCTGGCCCACCAGCGTCACCCACAGTGATGCGATAGACGGCAACCCCGCTGTGAAACACGCTGGGTTCGCACTCGCATTCGCGGGTGTACCTGACATAGTCTGCAGATGGGCGTAGAAGGCAGCCAGTTCCTCACCCGTAGGCTTGGGGCTGTCTTGAACTGGCAGGCCTGCGTACTGCCTGAGCATCTCTATGGCTACGGGTGTGGTGACAGGGGTGCTCATGCGCTTTCTAATTGTTAATATGCTATTACTGAGGATGGTTTCGGGATTAATGATGTACAGTACATTAGGCGCGATAACACCGTCCACCTTCTCCGTTAGTGAACTGTCCTGTAAATTGGTTATAGTCACACGCGTGTCCGATCTCTCGCTGGGCAAAGACTGATGCACGGTCAAATCACAACCCAGCAACTTCAGCGTATTCATTTGCGTAGATGTGAACGGGGCGTCCCCGTTTTCGCCAACATACATGTGTACGGGCTTGGCGGCTGTGAGCAGAACGGCGATGACGGGCATGGTGGTTGATCCAAAGGAGAAAACCTGTGTAGAGATGGGCAAGAAAAAGAAGAAGGAGTCAGATTCACTATCAATCCATAATACTGTATGTATAAAAACATGGAAAAACACGCAGCAAATTGTCATGCTCAGCCCGTTCTAAGAGGTCAATCGAGCTATACACTACATCACAACGGATAAACGCTGCATCGTGTACCTATGCACGCAACAGTGCACCCGAGTATATAGCAATTGAGTTTGTAGGAGACACTTTAAGAGAATAAACTAAAAGCATCGGAAGATACTAAGCAGAAACAGTATAAAAGGTACTACTTGTCTGGCTAACCGGTTAATCATAATTAGACTATAGTATGCTGACACACGGCTGTAGACTCCCCTACATAGACACATCTCTACCACCATATAATCTCTTTCCGGTTAATCATAATTAGACTATAGTAGGCTGACACACGGCTGTAGACTCCCCTACATAGACACACCTCTACCACCATATAATCTCTTTTTTACATTAACAATCCTATAAAAATGCTACACTATAAACCTGTTAACACCGCTGCAATGTGCGAATAAAAAGAATAGATTGTAATTGATCCGTTAGTGAAACTCTTAGCCAGGCTTGTGTACACCGAGTTCAATAAAGAATATCGCACCTAAAACCCAATTTGTGACTGGAACTATTAATATGGTTGAAAGCACAGCATCTGAAACCCCAAATTACTATATTAGTACCTCATCCCATACATCACAAGGAATACCACACCGAACTCAATACATATCATCGCATTTATAAACCAGCTTGTGGTCTGAAACTATCCATATACTAGTTCGAACAGCAGCTGAAAATCGGATTCCGATAGCAACACAACATCCCATCCCATACATATGTCGTACGGAAATATATAGCTGGTTGATGATTTGACCCCATTAAACTATGAGAAACCTAAAATATAGTGTCGCATTCCCCCCCCCCTTCCCGTGTTGCGGGTGAAGATGCATACACACATATGCAAATGCCACATAACAAGGTACGTGCGCACACGAAAGCCTTACTCGCGTGTAAAAATTGCATTATAACTCTATTTTGTGTCTACCGCCCACATGTAGTGGACTCACGCAATCACCTACGGCCCAATATATAAACACATTGCACTCAAGCCATGCCGTTGCACACGGCTCCCTCAAACACACAGAAGCACACGGCAGAACACACGTTTAGTCTGTGAGCTCATCGACAATACACAGCATCAAACACTCTGAGGCCACATGGACACAAACACAAACCTCGGTAACATCCAGATCTCTCTCCACAGCCAAGGCCGCCTCCAAAATGGTGGAAATATTACTAGAGACGCGCAGGTAGTCCTCGGCATTACCCAACGCACCCAGATCCTCCGATGTGATTGCATCGTGGTCTTTGGTTAGCAGGAGGTTAGATAAGTTAGTTCCGAACTTACCCCGGCCTAATAGATCGTGGTTTTTGAATGTAGTGCCATACCAATCTTTGGGCAGATTGGAGAGAAGTGCCGGGATAACGGCTTTGAAGTGATTAGACGTCAGATCACGGTTGAGGAATCGCATCTTGTTTGAGTAGTTCATCTTGTCGATATATGTATTAGGTGTTTTTCGTTGAAGTTGCAAGGTATGAAATTTTATGTTGTTCGCTAGATATTATTTGTGCTAAAATCACTAAGTCTGCTGTGCTTATATATATGAATCCTCTTGGTAAATACACCTTGTTTGTGACTTCGGCATTTAAAAGTCGACAGTATTTAATTAAATACATGAGGCTGTATTTATCAACTTTTTTAAATCGAACCGAAATTGGTCCAAAGCTCATGTTGTGTGTAAATATTTTGATTTTGTCCGAATACCGAAGCCGAAGGTGCTCAAAAAAAAATAAAGCTCACAGCCAGGCTCACACTCTCACACTCTCACACTCACAGCTTGACGGCTCGTCACGCACACACATTGGTCACAGCCTCACAGTCACAGGTCATAGGACATAGGGTCATAGGCTGTCCCCACCTGCCTGCCCCGCTAACAAAGGCCAGACTATTTTAGTCGCAGCCTCTCAGTCTCTCAGAGTCACAGGGGCATTCGGTTTTCGGGGAGCATATTAAAAAAACATAATGAGTAGGAGACGTTATATAATATAATACACCAATAATATGCCGTACGACAGACAGCCACTTGTGAGCACGGGTGTTGCAAAGTTTGTAGCCAATAGAAATCGAGGATAATTACATTTTAACAGAATACGTCACTATAATGACTAATGCTCACGTCGACAACTTGCATGTGATTGGCTTTGGTGAAATTTCCTCTTTAAATTTAAATTTTAAAAGGTCCGGGTTTAGGGTTTTTATTCTATTTATAGGTCTTCAAACCTAAGAAGCTTTTTTATTTCATCATTTCAACTCTCTGATTTGTGAATAATAAATAATAATAATTGTACATACCACAATATTTATGTGGATGCGTTTGTATGTAATATATGTGACTATATGTAGTTTAGTATAACATGTATTTGCACATCTAGTAGATGAGGGACAGCTGGCGCACTGATATACACAAGCAATTAACAGCTCATTACAAATCAGAATCACGAACCATGACTACCAAACTGCCTAGCTGCTCACTTTTGATGTACTTCTGTGTTCTTGTTGTTTCTTGGGGTAGTATAACCGCGCATACGCCTACGCCTATTTTACGGCAGGATGGAGTCCAGCTCAGAAACGACCTCAGCAATACAATAGAAGATGTTAATTTGAGGGTATGTATCCTGCAATAATTTTTAAGTAGTTTGCGTTGAAAATTTAATATATAAGTAACCGAATTGGCTGCCCGCCAACTGTTATCTTCATGACTCCGCTGACGGTCAATTCAGCTTACAATAAATACACTCCTCTGCAATACCAATCATTGAGAACGGCAGGGTAGTTTCACGTTGATTGTGATTTGATTTGATTTTAATGAACTTTTCTAGAGTTATGGCGTAGTTGGTATCACTTTGTATGAAGAGCAGCTTGGTGACCGCTACGTCTACAGAAAACCATCCTCGTCTTCACTTCGATTTTATAATATTGAACGAGCTTTAGAGCGGAAACGAACACCTGATATATTTATATATATGTGTGTGTGAGTATATATATATATGTATATAAACATATACATATATATATATTTATATATATATATATATATATATATANATATATATATATATATATATATATATATATATATATATATATATATATATATATATATATATATATATATATATATATATATATATATATATATATATATATATATATATATA